ATAGAGGGAGGGAGAGGGAGATAGACAAAGGGAGAAAGAGAGGAAAAGAGAGGGAGGGAGATAGAGGGAGGGAGAGGGAGATAGACAAAGGGAGAGAGAGAGAGATAGAGGGAGGGAGGGAGAGAATACTGACAACATTGTTTAAGACTCAGTCTAGTTTGTCCCTGAAACCAAAATCACCTCTGGGGCTTCTCAACATTGGGAGCCAATAAATTACCTTTTCTATTTGTTTAACTACTTTGAGTTGGGTTTATAACCCTTGCAACTTGAAGTAATCCTAGGTTATGGCAAATCAAGAAACTTGAAACCATAGAGGAACTCTACCTGACATTATCTAGTTGAAGCTGTACATGCATGTGTCTTTCGGAAAGTTTGTTGAGTTCTTGCTCCTGATTCTCTTTGAATGAACTATATTCCAATTTCACTGAAGAAAGTTCCTTGTCAGCAGAATGAAGAACTACTCGCAGGTCATGCACCTCACTTTTCAAAACTAAAAAACAAACAGAATAAATTCTTAACAGGTTACAAGAATTTTTTATGAAACAGGCAAATTGCTGGGCACAATGGCTCATGTTTGTAATCCCAGCAACTCATGACGCTGAGGCAGAAGGATCGTTTGAGCCCAGGAGTTTGGGACTACCGCTGGATACCATTGTGAGACCCCATCTCTAAAAAAAAATTTTTTTAAATAAAAAATTAGCTGGGTATGGTGGTGCGCACCTGTAGTCCCAGCTACTTGGGAGGCTGAGGCAGAAGGGTCTCTTGAGCCCAGGAGTTCAAGGCTGCAGTGAGCTATGATTGTGCACTCCAGCCTGGGCAACAGAGCAAGACCCTGTCTCTTAAAAAAAAAAAAAAAAGCAGGCAAATAAATTTGATAGGTACTATTCCCATAATCAGCAAAAACAAGTTGAAGAGATCATTTTAAGTACAGATGTTGAACTAATTGGCAGGAATCTAGGAGCACTGAGATTACTTTTTTCTTCCTTTCTGTTGCACATGGTTTTTGGTACAATTTTACTGAAAAAGGATAAGTTAACATCTCTTCCTGACTTGTAGGTCATTTGACATTTCTAGACTTCCACTGCAGAATGTGCATCAAAACTCTTAATATAAAGAAAAACAAATCAAAAGGTTTAACATATTTTAAATGCCCTAATCTTAATTATTGAAAATACCTTGGAAATGTACCAGAACTTTCCAACATGGGTTAAATACTTCTGGTCTCCTTTTTTTCTCCCCCCCCAACAAATCCCATGATAAATTAAAATACTTGTGGTTTTCTAAGGGAACCTCAACTATAAATAAAATCAAATTTTTTAGATCAAAGAAAATAGAATGGCTGTCTTTTGTTTTAGCTTTATTAAAGCTACTGAAAATACTATGAAATAAAATGAAAAAACTAGGAATCAAATGATACTCCCATATACACAAATATGTACATATAATTTATACTTTATTTTGTCAATATTAAAACACTCATCTTATGAATTCAAGACACTTCATTTTCAATGCAGTTTAATTAAACCTTTAAGCAAACATTTGTATCATTTGTTTGTGGGAAATCCTGGAGAAAATTACATTTTATGGTATATTACAGTTACCACTGCCAGACAAACTCAAGTCTGGTCATCTAACAACAAGAAGATAACCAAACAGAAACATAGGAACAACCTTTTTTTTTTTTTTTTTTTTTTTTTTTT